TTGGTGAAGTTAGTATTAGCTCTGGGATCGGGGGTGTTACCACGAACCGGGCATATGGGTGATCTTTCTTCGCATGATGAGCTTCATCAAATATCAGAAGGTTTATTTGATCCATCTTTACGTATGAATTGAGCAAGCATTGGTTCAGGATCTCCGCTGTACAAACTATCACCATGTTCCGCTCCAAATGCTCGTCCCAGGTCCGTTTATCCCATAGGTCAGTGCCCATGGCTCCAAAGAAGTGCGCAACATTCTGGTCAATGTTATTGCGCAAAACCGCCGCCTGTTGATATGCGAGAGTGACGCTGTCAACCTTGTATCAAGTTAGTATACATCTCACCAAGGCTAGGAAAACAAATACCAGAAAGAATGATACGCGATGCGGTTTTCCATTCGCGCGATTATCCAGCTCATTCAGGATGGTATGTCTCAATAAAAGCACGGCGATCAATGTTTTTCCCGATCCTACAACGGGTCAGCAGGAGGTTCACTTACTAAAGAACAGAAGAAAGCACTGAAAGCCAGCTTTGAAAAGGCAATACCTGTATCAAGAACGGCAATTGTGTTCTGCGTCTTGGCCCGTTCGAACAGCTCAATCTGGTATTCTCTCGGGTCCAACATCCCACTTCCCAGATCTTGCTTTGCGATCAAATGGGCGATGGATAGCTCACGATCTGATAAAGCTATTGGCGCTCTATCAATGGCTTCGTTGGAATCAGCATCGGCGCGCTTGGACAGCCTGCTCCAAGTCAGCAATAGCCTCAAAAGGTATCTCCGACGAGTGGGCGCTGACAGGGCTTCAAATTGAGCGTTCTGGACTCGTCGTTGCTGTGAGAAATCATTTTGATTGGGAACAGCGTCATGATCATTATCAGAATTGTCTGAACAGAGCTCGTCTTTGCGAACACCAGCATTAGAGTCGGCTGGTTCGCTTGCAGCAACATCATTTATGAAGAGGTCTCTTAATAGTGCAACGTTGCTGGAGTCTTCGCCTTTCAGAGACACAGATGACGAGACATCCACCAGAGACATTTCTTCAGTCATGGTTGAGGAATTCTGAAATGGCTGAGATGGTGAAGTACGGAGGTAGTGCAGAAATATAATGTTTTACTTCACGACGACACGAGTAAGTACAGAGGAGGTTTGCATTCATTATGATGAGAAGAAGAACCGAACTCACCGAAGAGGAGAATGAAGAGTGAAGATAAGAGTGAATGTATAAATATTTAGGGAAGCTCTATAGCTTAGTCGTTTGAGGTGATACTGATCGCAAACAGAAAGGTTTGCACACAAGACAAGGACTTTGCCCATGATGAGATTTGTTTCAGTCTGCTACCCGCTACTGATCTGATACAAATTATCATATATTGTCACTCATAATGATCATGGAGCTGTAGTGAAGAAAACCAGCCATTGATTAGTGATTCGGAAGCTCTATATATATCTCGACTCCAGCGCTGTTGATAAGGAGCTCTGACCAACTGATTGCGGGGCGTGGATCTGGCGCCGCGGGGCGAGTCCGATAATATTATTTTTGCGCAGACCCGATCGTCAGGTACCGCAACGAAGCTTCATCTCGTCGTTATCATATCGTCATTGCCCAGGATGGAGCAACCCCAGAGCCTTCGATCGCTATTTACCGCTGCAAAGGCTGAGAAAGCCTCGTTGGAGTCGCGGCCCGACTCCAATTCTGACTCCTATCGCAAGGATGTCAACGCAACGATAGCGAAGTTCGAGGAATGCCAGCGCCTCGTTGGCCAACTCTCCTTGTTCAGCTCGAATGAACCTCTAGAAGATATTGCATCGGGGGATATACAGTGAGTGAGATTACTGCTGGAGCTGTGACGATCTTGTGCTAATGACTATTCTCTGCAAAGGTACCTCACTGTGGATTATCTCCTCGCAGACATTCTCCAACGTACCTATACCTCAGACCGCGAATCTACAATCCGGCGTGCTTTGGAACTATATGAGAAATACCTTTCGAGGTTAGATGACTATGGGCTGCTTAATGACAACGAGAAGAAGCTACACGAACGCTACATATCGAATCCCTCGTCGTTTTCGTTGACTCCGACTAATGATGCGGCTACCCGAAGGGAAGTGAAGCTATCGCGATTTCGGGAGGAGAAAGAGCTGAAACAACGGCTTGAGGTTTGTTCAATGTTTCTTCCACGGTTGTGAGCCTTACTTACATCTCAACAGTATTTCTCAAACAATCAGAGCCGATTACAAAGTGACGACGAAGACGTCCGAAAGCTTTACCTGGCAGAAATCAATCTGTACACGCACCAAGCCTTCCAGTCGATGGATTTACTCTCGCAAGAACTCTCAATGCTTTCAGCAATTCGCAATAACCCTCCCAATCCCGCTCAGCCCCCGCAGGACGATCCCAGGCGACGAAATAACGATACCGAATCAGGCTACTCGGAACGTCTCGACCCGCCTTTGTCGCAGCTCCTCAGAGGTGGAAAGTCTGGACCGATACTCAGTAAAGAAGGAAAGCCATTGCAGCCTTTTACTTTACTGGATCGCCGCACTCAACTCCAACAGGGTGTGTTTAGACCCGGCCATAATCTCCCCACGATGACGATTGATGAATATCTTGAAGAAGAAAAGAGAAGAGGTGGTATAATCGAGGGCGGAGAGAAGTCGGGTATGAAAGAAGAAATAGACGAGGATGACATGGACAAGGCAGATGAAGAGACGATGAAGGCTCGAGCCTGGGACGAATTCAAGGAAGCGAACCCAAGAGGCTCAGGGAACACCTTGAATAGGGGCTGATGTCTTGCCGTTGAAGTTCGTCAACATGAGATGTGCCTAGAAATGGACGCTTTTGGAGCCGATATCCCTCGTCGTGCAATGCAAGTCGTTGCTAAGTGATAATTCTTTACCAGCAGTAAAATACGTCTCCTGGCGGCTCAAACTTTCATGTCGAGACATCCAAAGGGATTATTTGTTTTAAGGAAAAGTGCCTGGAGATGAGGGCGGAAGAACATGCCTATAGACACATATGCAAGCTGGTTTGTGCATTACATCTTTTTACATGGGGTATACATGGGGCATCGGCCCACTGTCTTTCTGCTAAGACTAGGGAGAAGACCAGCATCTCCACTTCAGTGAGATTGTGTGCTTTGCTCATCCACCAACAGTTCGTCCTCAAGGGGTGAGCTTTTTGCGTTGGATCTCCGCGAGAATCTCCCCTGCGCCCTCTTCTACCAGTGCCTTCGCAACGGTCACACCGAACTCTTCAGCGGATTCTGCCGTATCGACTGATCCGTCTACTTCAACCTCAGCACTTTCACGACCGTCAACACTGACGACTATGGCCCTCATTCTCAGCTTGGACGACCCATCGGAATCCTGGATCCACTCCGTCTCAACACCAAGAGGGGCACTGCAACCACCCTCAAGAGTTCGCAGGAGGCTTCGCTCTGCGAGGCAGGCCATGGTCGTTTCGTGATGACCGATAGAGTTGAGCATATCCCGCAGAAGCTTATCATCCTTGCGGATCTCAACGCCAAGGGCTCCCTGGCCAACCGCGTAGAGCATCCCGCCATTCTTAGAGTCAAGATACTGGGATATGCGGTCCTCCAGACCTAGCCTCAACAGACCAGCAGCAGCCAAGATAATGCAAGTAAATGGGCTATCCTCAGCATCTAATTTCGCTAACCGAGTACCGATATTGCCGCGCACATCCTGGACCTTCAGATGAGGGTATCGGCGGGCGAGTTGAGCAGTGCGGCGGATGGATGAAGTACCCACGACAGACCCTGCGGGCATCTCGGAAAATGTCATATTGGACAATCCTTTCTTCATCACCAGAACATCCCTTGTATCTTCTCGCTCCATCATGGGGCCCAATGTACACGTGGGAGGTAGTTGAGTTGGTACATCTAAAATCAATTCCAGTCAGTATCAAGCATTTATAGTGATATGAGGCAGGCATGATAAACCTACCCTTCAATGAATGAACAATGAGATCGACATCACCAGCCATCAAAAGCTCTTCCAACTCCTGCGTCCAGAGATTCTTGGTAGTGAATTCTCGGAGAGCAATAACTGTATTCTTATCACCCGCTGTCTCCTGAGAGTGTATTTGAAATGTATATTCCGGGAATGACTTCTTCAGCGCTGCAGCAACCAGGTCTGTTTGCATAAGAGCGAGCTTAGATTTGCGTGTCCCTATCGTGAAGGTTCTCTGCGACGAGGAATCTGCGGCCTCGGAGGAAGGCGGGGCAGATGCCATTGCGATAACTGTTTCAACAGGACGCGAACGAGAATCGTTTCAGGACGGCGCAGCAGTCTATCGAAAGGTTTAGTCGACAGAGAAAAATGTGCAGGAGATCTGCTTATCAAAGACTCAGAGGGCCGAGTGTCTTGAAGTTGAAAGCCAACCAAGTAAATCATAAGATATCCTCCGGGAAATTTGAAGCCGCTCTGGCGGGCAATCAGTAATTAACGGTGGCTACCGCCTTCCGCCGTGAAGAACTGTCACAGGTTGTACCGTAATGTACCAATAACCGTAAAGTTATCTTACCGCGGGTGAAATACTCATACAGATCCCTGTGATCCATCCTCAACAGATGGAGTAACTGCATGACAGTCCCTCTATCACTCCAGACCGCAGAGAATATAGCAACGCTTATTGAGAAGCTTGCGTTGATACTACTTGAATTGGTATATTGACGTGTATCCAATCTGCCACAGCCAGGTTAACAGTCTGGAGCTGGATACTGCAATCCCGGATCCGACTGACGTAGATCACGCGAACCTCGGCTTCGGGAAGCGCTTATCGCTTCATCGCCTCCCCAGAGTCACGGACTACATCTATGGAGTTCTGGAACATCTCCGCAGCCTTAAAACTGATCGTCCGACACCCTACAGCCCATTTATGTTGATTGACTGACTTCAGACAAACGCCCTATCCTCGTGCTCTTATACTAATAGCTCTGTTTGATATTGACACAAGCTGTGTCTTTCAGATCTGGGAGGCCGAAATGGGTTCCAATAACGGAAGAGCGACGAAGTTAGCTTTAGTCCCTCTACCCAAAGGCTCCGTATTGCTCCCTGGCGTCACTCTACGCATACCGGTGTCGAATCGCCCTGATCTTGCCAACCTTCTCTCGGCTCTCCTCGATCAGACAAATCTGGGAAAGCGGGATGGGAACACTATCACATTCGGTTGCGTACCTTTGAGTTCGCCATTGCTAAGCAACGACGGCCAGCAGCTGATCGAGGACGGAAGCTTGGATGGTGCTAAGAAGGAGGAATATGATGCTATAGATGCAGGTCAGGCAAGGAAAGAGGATCTCTTCCGGTACGGCACGGTCGGCAAAGTAATAGGGGTGCAACGACGTGCCTATGCAGAGCCGTTCCTCGTGGTCCAAGGAGTCCAACGTTTCACTATTAAACACATACTGAGGGACAGGCCCTTTTTCGAGGCAGAGGTGGTTCTACACAATGAACGAGGTTGGTGCACAAATCTATTTGCCGTTAGAGATATACTCTTCATCACAGCTAATAACAATTCATAGATGCCGTTTCCAACGATGCAGAAACCGTTGAGTTGTTCCAGCAGTTGAGGCAACTTTCTCGCGAACTCATAACCCTCCTACGACTGTCGTCTCTACTACCTTCCACTGGCACGCGCCTGTCGCCGCTCGTTGCTCGCAAATTCGAGGTGTACATTGCGAAGACGGATCTATCGCAGGCGGGCAATCTGGCCGACTTTATGGCAGATGTAGCTGATCCTACCTTCGAGGAGAAACTGCGCGTGTTGGCTTCTTTCGCTCTGAGAACTCGGTTGGAAAGAGTTGTAGAGTTATTGGGCCGTCAAGTTCAAGGAATCAAGAACAGCGTCAAAGTTACGACGATCTCCACCTCGTCATTCCCACCGAATTCTTCGTTCGATATCAGTCAGATTGATCCTCGAGATCGTGAGTTGTTGGCAAGGCGAGCCATGGCCGGCCTGACGGGCTTGACGCCCCCTGGAGCCGCAAGCGGACGTAACGAGGATGAAAAGGAGACAAACGAAGTTGATGAATTGCAAAAGAGGCTCCAGGAGGCAGAGCTCAGTCCCGAGGCTCGGAAGGTTGCTGACAAGGAATTGAGACGTCTTCGAAAGATGAACCCGGCAAACGCCGAATATGGCGTCTGCCGAACATATCTCGAAAACATCGCCGATATTCCCTGGACCAAGGTCACCGAGGACAAACTAGGACCTGAGACGCTGAAGAGAGCAAGGAAGCAGTTGGATGAGGACCATTACGGTCTTGAGACGATCAAGAAGAGACTGCTGGAATACTTGGCTGTCTTGCGATTAAAGCAGTCAACCAACCAAGATGTTGAGCGGCAAATTGCTGCACTCACCAAGGAACTTGATGCTGCCAATGAAGCGCATGTCGAGAAGGACTTTCCTGCTTTGTCCGAGTCAGACAGAGTCTCTCTTGAAGCAAAATTGAATTTGCTTCAGTCAAGACGTATGGCTGATAAGTCTCCAATCCTGCTGCTCGTTGGTCCACCTGGTACTGGCAAGACGAGTTTGGCAAGATCCGTGGCCGCCTCTCTCGGACGCAAGTTCCACAGGATTTCTCTTGGTGGCGTGAGGGACGAGGCTGAAATTCGAGGCCACCGGAGAACCTACGTTGCTGCTATGCCAGGCCTAATCGTGAACGGTCTTAAAAAGGTTGGGGTTGCCAATCCTGTATTCCTCCTTGATGAGATCGATAAAGTGGGCGGGGCCAATTTCCAAGGAGATCCATCCGCAGCAATGCTTGAGGTCCTGGATCCCGAGCAGAACTACACATTCGTCGATCATTACATCAATATCCCAATTGACCTGAGCAAGGTTCTCTTCATAGCCACTGCCAATTCTCTTGATACCATACCCGCGCCGCTACTCGATCGTATGGAGACAATCACTTTATCCGGCTACACGACTGTTGAGAAGAGACATATCGCCAAGAGACATTTGATACCAAAGCAGATCAGAGCCAATGGTTTGTCCGAGGGCCAAGTTGTTCTTTCTGACGAAGTCATTGACAAAGTCATTACCTCTTACACAAGAGAGTCGGGTGTGCGGAACCTTGAGCGCGAGTTGGGCTCGATTTGTCGACACAAGGCTGTTCAATATGCAGATGCGGTTGATAATGGCAGGTTGGATACGTACAACCCTGTGGTTGCTCTTGACGACTTGGAAGAAATTCTTGGAATTGAACGCTTTGACGAAGAGATTGCCGAGAAGCATGGTCGGCCAGGCGTTGTAACCGGTCTTGTCGCATACTCGACTGGGGGCCAGGGCAGTATCTTGTTTATTGAGGTTGCGGACATGCCGGGTAATGGTCGCGTTCAGCTTACAGGCAAGCTTGGTGATGTTCTGAAGGAGAGTGTGGAAGTCGCCCTGACCTGGGTCAAAGCTCATTCTTTTGAGCTCGGTCTCACACATGACCCCAACGAGGACATCATGAAGAACCGAAGCTTGCATGTCCACTGCCCAGCAGGAGCTATCCCCAAGGATGGTCCCTCTGCTGGACTTGCTCACACAATCGGGTTGATCTCCCTATTCACAGGCAAAGCTGTGCCTCCGCAGATTGCAATGACCGGTGAAGTCTCCCTGCGAGGACGGGTGATGCCTGTTGGAGGTATCAAAGAGAAATTGATTGGAGCACTGCGTGCCGGTGTCAAGACTGTCCTCCTACCCGAGCAGAACCGGAAGGATGTCAAGGATGTACCGCAAGAGGTCCATGATGGCTTGCAGATTGTCTATGTCAGGTAAGACATGATTGATCCTCACATTGAATCAGCATAATTGATTACTGACATATATTGCACCGCAGGCATATTTGGGAAGCGATTCGTCAGGTCTGGCCTGACGCCCATTGGCCTGGACAACACCACATGAACTTTGTTGAAAGCCGGCTGTAGAGTTCTTCGGCTTAAACTTCTTTGCTCTGAATTCTACTCATACTCTTTGCATTCCTCCTCATTGCTTGCGCTGACCATTAACTGCTTTGGCTCATATCACGATGTCACTCTTTCTTGTATTAGCGCATTCAACCCCAATCACTCTAGCATAGCGTCTTATATAGCCTAGTCAATGGCCATCTTGGTCTTAGTTCTTCCCTATTCTTTCCATCTTTAACTTCATATGCCCAAGTTGGAGTCTTTCCGGTAAAAACTACGCCGCTGAATATCGTATTTATAGTCAGATGAAATTTCGATATATGGTACAAGGTTAATGAAAATGGAAAAGAGAAAGGGATCCGGGAAAGAAAAATGCCACAAAAAAGAAGCAAGATTCCGCTTTTCTATCCCCTGAACGAATGAAGCAGAAAGGAAAAGGAAGGCCATCTATGAACTTGTCGACGTCGAATCTTTCGCTGCTTTGAATATCGACCGGTCATAGCTGAGTCCCAACGCCTGCCAAGTCGGTCTCCAGGCCTTCGTGCCGTCCAGCAGCTGCTTCGCTTCCTTTGCGTATTCTTCGCGCTCGGCCTTGTTGGGCTCCATGGCAGCGTCGGGTCGTTGCGAGCGCTGAATTTCTTCCTGGTACTTCTCGGCGTTGAAGTACTGATCCTTCTCCCATCTGTCCAAAAGTACATTAGCACACGCGCACGACGCCAGTTCATGAGAAAAAGGCAAATGTGGTAGACATACGGTGACATATCCGTCGGCGCCTCGGGCCACACAAAAGGCTCTTTCATTTCAACCGTCATCTTCTTCTTCGACATCGGTCTCCTCAGACGGCCGTATCCGAACTTGCCCAGGGGCCGCAGGCGGGTCACTTTCTGTTGCTCGACGTAACTGCGGATCCGGAGGACACCGACGCCGTATAAACGTTGCAGGTAGTCGCGCATATCGAGCTTGTTGAAATTCAAGGGCACGTAGAATGTGGCATATCGCGGGGGAAGGAAGGGTGTGCGGATGAGGGCGATTGTGAAGTCAGGACTACATCGCGATATATTGTCAGCCCAATGAATAGAGATGCAAAACCGAGGAATCAGGGAAGGCGCTTTAAGCTTTTGAATCGACCTTGGTGAACTTACAGAAAGACCTGCTTCCGCATCGACAGCGGCGCCGAAGGAGGCACCCAGCCTGCAGGCTTTTTGGGGAATTTTGAGAATTTGCGCACCATCTTGATTCTCTATGTCCCGGTCTCAATTGTGAAATCGGAAACTGGATAGAGGTGCAAAAGTGGTGGGTATATGAATACGATTCGTGCTCGATGGCCGGATCTTCTCAACTCGGCGGAACTTTTGGAAAAAATGCACGTGTGGCCGCACCGCCTACCGTATAAAAGTGCTGCGATAAGGTCAGGTTCACAAAGAAGTATCAGACAATACAACATTTTACCTGTACATCGCGTGGAATTACAAATTAAACTTAGAACCAAAATATCAGATTATGTACTCATTAACATCATTAAGTTTGATTGACTTTTACGTTATCATGCTGAGAGCTACCGCCCTTCAGACGCCTCCGATACATGCAGTTCTCCCAATTTCCGAGAACTCTCACTAATCTCGTCAGTTACGGAATCCGACGCTCGTTCCTGATCGTTGTCGCCATGCTCATCCTCTTCCTGTGATTCCGACCCTGACTGTTCGTCCTCCTCGTCGCTGTCTTCATCATCTTCTTTCGGCTCGTCCCCATCCCCATTTGCGCCGACCTCCTTCATGTAGGCTTCCAGCTCGCGAGCCATCTTTCTTGAAAAACCAGACGCTTCTACCTCAACGTCCAACCGCTTCCCAGGGTTCTTCAAGAGCTGTTTCTTGGCGTCCGCGAAGAAAGGGCCTGGCTCATCGCTGACAAAATGGAACTTCCGTTGGAAATAGCGCTTGATGCAATTCACGTCGCGGTCGAAATACATCTCTGCGTTTGGATGGTCGATTGACACCATCTGCGGGAAATCGATAATGACCGGAACCAGCCGGATATTCTCATCGTTCTCCGCATCAGCAGGACCCTTTCCCTTCGCATCGGGATCCTCCTCTTCTTTGATCAAGATATTGAACTCGTTGTAGTCACCGTGAATAAGGCCAAACCGCGCAAGCTCCATGATCGTACCCATAAGCTCCGAATACAGTAGCGCAGGCTTGGGAACTCTCGAAATCTGTCGCAGCGGGAATGCGTCGATTAAGCTCATGACGATCGTGTGTCTGTTCTGGGCAATAGGTTCGGGTACTGAGAACCCGTTCTCTCGAAGAGCCTTCATAAAAGCGAACTCCTTCATCGCCGCCAATCGCGACATGTACATCCATGAACCTGTACTCCGATTGCGCAGATAGTCTCTGTTCGTCTTGACTGTTCGGAAGGAAATGCGGCCCAGGCGATGAATCTTTAAGATGCATTGTGTTCCTTTACTGTTCGCGACGACGACGATATCTGACTCTTTCCCGACACCGATCTGGTTTCCGACGGAGTAGATGCATTTCTGCTTCTGATGAGCGTTCAGCGCCAGGTAGTCGAGACCTCCGTAAGTAAGCCGATAGCCATCATCTGAATGAAGAATAAGATTAGCAAATACATTCATCCAAAGTATATTACTGGCAAGGCGCGAATAACTGTACATTTCGCGTTCTTCACTTTTGCGATCAAATTAGTCTTAGCCAGGTTGGAGATAGACCGATGGACTCCACTGCCGCCCCGGAGACCTGAGAGTTGTACGATCAACGGTGTCGGTACGACTTCATGATTTCTACTTCCTGTTTCCACCTATATAGAGCTCTTGTTAGCTGTCAGACAACGAGCTGTGATGAGAAGCAGCAAAGGCGGGGCAAATGGCAGGCATACCGCAGTGAGCACGCGGAAATCCTCGGAAGTGAGGTATCGAATCGCTTTGGGATCGAGCTTCATTCTTGTTGGTAGCGAGTGCTAAAAGTGATTTTAGGAAGGTGAAAGAAAGATATCGTTCGAGCAGTCTCTCTATCGTCTGCCGTTGTTGCGGATGTCATGGCGGAAAAAAGTTACATTCTTGGAGCCCTATGCCCTACTTTCCTATTGGAGCGTTTCCTTGGTATATAGTACTCCCATTGACATCGCGATAGTCTGAGTCGATTGTCCATAGACGTCTCTGAATACTTACCGAGGGATGACAGTATTTCTTTTGATCGGTATGTAAATGACGCGATCCATGAAAGAACATTATTCGCCTTTAGTGCCCTTTGATTTATCTATAATCGTATACGATCCGCCTCCGCGAGACCCAGTTACATATTCAGTTACATCCAGAACCACGGAGGCGCTTATAGTCTAGAACTAGATCGTGGCATGTTATTTGTCGATTCGGTCTCAAATACATTAAATCCAACCTCATCGGTCGCTAGATGGTTGCCCCCGCACCCGGCCCCTTGCAAAAGAAGCGTTATGAATCATCGTTTCACTCAAGCGGAATTCTCTTGCCAGTCAGGGTTCTAAATCATGCCAGTTAGTTATCAAGAAGAATAAACAAATTCAAATGGAATCATCATCCAAGAAGCTCACCTTTCGTAAGATCACAAGCCCTTCAAGGGTGCTACTAAGGGGAATGTATTGCTCATCCTCCAGCTCTGCTCTTTCACCGTAGGACAGAAGAACAGGTGTGCTCTGTGTTTGCCAGCCAGTGATCGTCTTGGGACGACCAGCTTGGCCAACCACATCCACAGCCTGACCCACGCGTACGTTCACGGTGAGCGGTTGGAGGTCCTCGTCCAGCGTAACGAGGAATCGTGGGTACATGGCGGTGATAAGGAAGTAGAGGAGGTAGTGGTGTTCGGCAAGAATGAATTGTTTGGCGTCGATCAAAGATACAACGACAGTGAGTAGGCCAGCAGCTGCTACACGGGAAAGGACCTGGCGGTCGGTGTGAAATGGATTCAGGGTCATCGTGCCCTTACCCATGTGAAGAAGACCCTGAGCGATGCGGACCATGAATAATGAGTTTTGGTCACGGTGGTAGTAGCTTGCCAATTGCCTCAGCAACTGCGCAAGACGGGCATTGTTGGTACCTGCTCCACAGAGACCCATGGCGAAAATCGCGTTGATGGCGACATCATTGTCATTGTCGTGGCTGTACCGCGACAGTGTATCGTAGACCTTCATCTGCGGGTTGCTGGGGCTGATCAGACCCATTGCAAGTGGCACAGCCTTTCGGATGTTGCTGGCACCGTAGTGCATGAGGTGACCGAACTGTCTGAGAATCATGTCCTGTCCGACTTCCTCGCCCATAGCGATGAGAGACAGACCCAAGACAGCGTAGGATTGGACAAGTTCATCTCCTTTCTTCTCATCATTCTCTTCAATAAGGTCATTACAAATGTGAAGAAGCTCTTGCAGCTTCAACACTGTGCCAGTTCCTGCCCAGGCACAGACAGAAGCAAGAACAGAAGTTGGCTTGGCCATTGGGTGGTCGACGGCCTTGAGAATGTCGAGAATGACGTCCACCTCCTCCTGGCGGCCGAAGTACAGTAGGGCCAAACCAAGCGCCATGAAACGGGTCCACTTATCTTTCAGATGCTTCTGTCGCTCCTCATCCATCAAGGTCGTAGCAATGGCTTCGCTGACTTGATGGTTCGAAGAGCCAACAAAAATAAGACCTAATGAGACAGCCGCCATTGCCGAGAGTTGCATATCCAGGGAGACATCTTCAACGACGGGAAGCAGGATTTCCAGGAGCTCCTCCTTGTTGGACCCGGCGTAGGCCAGACCAAGACCCATGATCGCAGCAACTCTGACCGGTACACTCTTTTCTTGCCAAACTTCGGGATCGCCCAGGAGAGCCAGAACGGGATCCGCCTCTAATCGTACGCCCGAACCGATCATACCTGTGCCTAGCAAAGCACCGGCCTTGATCTGCTCCTCGGTGGCATAGGTAAACTTGTCAATTCTGTCCAAGCCAGAGTCGGTGTCCTTCGACAAGAGCATGCCGAAAGAAGCCGTTGTCGACA